CTCTTATTACTTGGAATGCTCTTTTAATTATAAATAATACTATAAATTGATTGATTGCTCCTTGTTTAGCTACAAGCGTTTATGCAAAAAAATTGGTGAACTAGTCACTCAGCGAAACGTATAAAAAATGCATGAAAAATGGATTCGAAATGGTTAGATTTAAATTTACATATTGCTCCTCTTTCCTTAGTCTGTTGAGGTTAATAATCGGGTCGATAAACTTACATTTCTTTTTAGTTCAGAAGTGTATTTGAGGTTGTACAATTTTTCTAAATCTAAATTATAAATTTAGTCTTCGAGATTCAGAATGATAAATAAAGAACAAATTTCTGGGTCGTTCCATATCAAATCAATCAGAAGTTTGGCAGACCATCTCACAGATTTTGATAAAATTTGGTACACTGATTCTCTATATGGGTGGGATGAAAAATCCAAAATATATTTGTTTTCTGATCAGTAGTTTTTTATTAATTTTCAAAAATCGAAAAATTGACCAATGTTGGTTCAACACAGCTTCACAAAAATTAGAATATCTCGTTTTCAAATACCTTTCCAACGATGTGTCACATGACCTATTTTATTTTCATGTTTTTTTTTTATTAAATTTTGAAAAAACATTTTTTGTTTTTTTTTCAAGTAATTTTTGAATTTTTGGGGAAAAAAAATATTGTTTTTATCAATGTTTTGGCAAAATATGTGCCAAATTCAAGATGGAGAAATTATGGGTTCACGGCTAAAAAAATAAAAACCAAAGCAACAAAAAATCTGAAGAAAAATGTTCCAAATTCGAATTATCATATACAGGGTGTTTCTAAATTCATGCGACAAAATTCAGGAGGTGATTGCTCGTATTAAATTAAGATGGGTCTTTCGTATAACAAAATTTCCTCAGCCCACCCCTTTCCGAGATATCGCTCTTAAAAGGTGGTGACTAAAATTGAGATTTTATTTTTTTTCTAAAATTTCAGTAAAACTAGGAACTTGAAATTTTGTAATTTTCGTGCACTCGCAAAGGACTAATCACGGGTATTTTTTCAATATTTCTGTTACATTATAGGAGGGTGAAATTAGCAACCCTTACTTTATTTCATAAAACTTCAGTCTTAAGAAAATTACAAAAATAAGGCCAAAAATTTTCATAATTTTAACCTTTTAATTAGATTTTCACATGTTTTATTATTATATTTTTTTTTTTCATACTGAACCCATTATTTCTCCATTTTGAAATTTGGCACATATTATGCCTATGCGTTGATAAAAAAAAATCAAAAACAACTTTTTTGTAAAAAATCAATTTTTTTTTTTTTTAAATAAAAAAAAAAAACATGAAAATAAACTAGATCATGTGACACATTGTTGGAAATGTGTTTGAATTACCTTTACAACGAGCTATATCTTATTGATCTACGATAAGTAGTTCTCAAGATATTTTAATTTTTGTGAAGTTGTGTTGGACCAAAATTGGTACATTTTTTGATTTTTGAAAATAAATAAAAAAAAACTTCTGATTAGAAAAAAATATTTTGGATGTTTCATCCCATCCATATAGAGAATCAGTGTACCAAATATCAAAATCCGGTGGTCCGATGGTCTGCCATATTTTTTTTTATTTTGGTTGATTTGATATGAAATGACCCTTCTCTAAAGTTTAATATTGCAAGGCACAGCAGACATTTATGCAATTTTATCAACGTATTTATTATTACAGATATGGAAAAAATAAATTGTAGTGTGAATAAAAAAAAGCAATTGATTTTACTTTAAAAAAATGAACAAATAATTATCTATAACAATGCCTCGGAATTTGTGATTCTGTTTACTTAGAAACAATCAATAAAGTTCTTTAGTTTGTTAAGAAAACCATTTAGTATTGTTTATTATTCGGGGAGACAATACTGAACCCTGGGGTACTCCAGCCTCCGCTAGTGTTATTGATTTTAATGTAAAAAGTTTTGTTCTGTAGGTACGACTGTATTGTTTTTATAATGAAAACGGAATAGTTATTCACAATCATTGTGTTTATCAACCCGTTGGTTCAGACGGTGTCAAACACCTTTTCTGTGTCAAGAGCCACGAGTACTCTTTGTTTGTGATCATTAAAGGCCTTTTTGGCGTGGTGAGCTATATTGAGTATTTGAGCAACTGTACTGTGACCCTCCCTGAAACCGTACTGTTCCTTCGGGATGATATGTTTGTCATTGTCAATGTTACGTAGTCGTATCAGTAGTATTCTGTCTATGATTTTAGATATGCCAGATAAAAGTGATATAGGGCGATAGTTGTCAACTTCTTTGGGACTTTTATTCCCTTTTTTGATTGGGATTACATTTGCTGCTTTAATGGGATAGTATTGCGTAATAAAAATTGCATTTATTAAATAATTCAATTGCACTATTGCCTTTTTGGAGATTTTTAGTAATCTGTTGTTGATTTCATCGGGTCCCGGGGCCTTCCTGTTTTTCAATCTGTATAGTATTTCTCTTACCTCCTTAGTGACATCTGAACAAAACCTTGTTAATGTACTCTGTAAATGATAGTTTTCTATGGACTATTAAAAAATACGACTACTATAATAGTTCATTGTCAATTGGTACTAATTTGAATGAGGAGTAAAATTTGGCAGATAATTTTTTTGTTGAGAAATTCATATGGTTTGCTATATGATATATTTAGTTTGCACTAAGTAATTATTGGGCAAAAAGCCAGTCTAGATTATTTGGCTTGCTTTTCCGGTATAAATGAGAAATTCAATTTGTTTTTCGACTATAAAAGCGCTCATCCATATCAATATATTAACTAAAAATTAGTCTATTACGTACATACATTAAATAACATCAACATGTATCGAGATTTTTAAATTCATAAAAGTTTCAGGAGGTTATTTATCTTAAAAACTAAAAACTAAACTAAAATGGGTTGTTCCAAATAGCATTAAACCAAAAGTGTAATAAATGCAGTACCATCATGTATTAGGAAAAACAAGGGTTAAAAAAGTTATTAAATAAAACAGGAATTTAAAACATTTTTAATTTTACAAAAATTCAAGCCTATCAAAAAGATCCTACTCAGATACAGTGTTGTTCCTGAGTACACAATCGTGCCAAAAGAAACAGACTTTGTAAATAAAATGCACAATGTCAACTCAATAGACAAAACCGCACAATTTTATGTCATACTCGTTACTCATATCACATTGATTAAGCTCAAGCTGCGTTGATCATTTACAAATTTTAAATGCATTTAATAAATCAAGCTCACTCAACACCTTCAATATTTTATACTACGCATTGTACCATTAAGATTCTCAAATAAATTTAAATTTGTTTATTTCGACTTATGACAGTTGACATTTCAACAAGAATAAGTGACAGTTGACAGTTCGATGTCCTGCGCTTTGGTACAGTCAAGCGAAAAATAGCACACTTTAGTTTAACCAACTGCTCAACATAATGGAAATAAATTTTTATAATAAGTTTTCCAAATGATCCAAAAAATATAAAAAATTAACCAAATGATCCAAAAAATATAAAAATTGAAACTTTATTCAAAAATAAACTAAAAACATATATTGGAAAATGATCGAAATAAAATTAGTAAGACATTGGAATTTCTAAAAAAAAAATATTCAATACAGTATTTATTACCTATTTATGAATTATACGTATCCCCCATTTTTACTCATATTTCTACTCATAATTTTACTTAGGTATTTTATTATTATTGTTCCTCAAGAGCATGAATTTTGGTTTTTTTTCTTCTTAATATTTAAATATTTTAATAATTCTGTATTTTACATGTTTTTTATGTCAAAACAAGTGCCTCAACACTTCCAAATAAGTTAAAAAAGTCTTATAAAGCCTGTTTTAGAACTCTTACACAACTTATAGAAATATGTAAATCCTATAAAGCGTTTAAAAACTCCTATATAATTCTAGAATAGCCAAAAAGGCCCCATTTTGATTATATAGAAATTCTATAACAAAACTATACAATTATAATACAATTTTAAATGATGATTACAAAACTCTCTTATAAGGATTATTTATACAACACATTTACGTAATGCATTTTAGTACTGCTATAAAAACATTTTATAACAGTGTTAAAAAGCAGAAAGAAAACGTTAAATAATATTTGTTTTAGTGAATAATATTATAGATAATAATGGTGGCCAAAACTAATTAAAAATGGAAGAATGTTTAGTGAAATGTATTTAGTAAATCAAACAAGGGAGAAAGAAAAATTTAATGCGGAGTCTATTTTACTGACAAAATACTATTTATCTTTTTGTAACTGACAAAAACAAAATGTAGTGCTATAAAATAGTAATTGTTTTTCTAATTTTATAGTAATTTTGTTAAAAGTGGCAATCTGTATGTACACTTCAAATTTTGTTGTAAATCGCGTCTAAAAACCGCGTTAAAGAACAATAGTATCCTATAAGGTAAGTACAAAACTGTGTTTAATTATTATTTTGTTGCAGTGTTGTCAACAGAATAGAGGGAAAATAAATCTTAGTTTATGTTCGTGCGATTTTTAAAAAATAATACTAATAATATTCTGAAATATGCTTAAAATAGTTGAAACTATTGAAAATAAAATAAATGAATTGTCTTTAGTGCCGAAATAATGGGAAGATGGTTTTAAAACACATTTGTTGTATTCAGACACTTAAGAAATAAAATTGTTTCTTAAATAGCATTATTCCATAACTATATAACTAGTCACTTCTTTAAGGCATTTATTTTGCTAATTGGGTTAATGACTAATTTTTATTTCTTGATTCTTTTTCTATATATTTTCTGTAATTTATATGTATTGTGGAAATAAAGTTATTGATATCTACAATCGACTCTTTACGAGTGGATGTGATTTACAAAATGTCCTTCAATAATTAATAATAACATTCAACGATTATCGCCATGCTGATTTTTTTCATTTGAATTTAGAATTTAGGTATATAAAAAACAAGCTTCGAAATTAACAGAAAAAAAACTTACCGGGCTTTATACATAACTTCGAAAATGTTATCCCAAGTAACGCCAGACGACGTCAGTGACGTCGCTAGTTGGTCCATGACAACTTTTTGGCGAGGGATCATAATTTTCAATCTTTGTCTGGGTGCAACGTCCATATATTAAAAATGTTCACTAGTTTACGGATGTCTAGTTTAGCCACCCCTAAAAACGAACAGTGGTGATCTTAGATATACGAACTGAATGGTATGACTGATGATGAATAAGTTTTTAGTTTCGGGGGTATAGGTAGAAAGCTTAGGTGGACAGGTAAAAATACAGTTTGATTTGATTTTCGAACACCTGCGATGATGCTAGTCCTATTATAGAAAAATTGTGGCTGTCGATTGTAGATAGAGATACAGCTCGAGATGTACAGGGCGTAATGAAAATTCATATCGTAGAATAACAATGACAGAATATATTGTTCTAAATAAAGAACTATCAGAACGATTAGTCTCCGATTTACACTGATTATAAAAAAACTATGACACGACGAATGAAAACATTGCATATTAATACATTCAAATTTATTTGTGACCGGAATAATGTAACGATTCGAACAATAAACATAATTTGCAGTACCGTTAAACAATAACAAAAAAAATAACAGACGAGCATATCAACATCTCCGATCATTAATTTATTTTGTACTTTTGTTGCTCTGAATGTTTGTGAAATTGTTTTGTTATTGTTTCGTCGGAAAGTAGGAAAGAAAGTAGGCTGTATTTAACATTCAATTTAATCCACAAATCTGAAATTAGCGGATTACTTTGTTATTTTATCTGCTTGAGGCTTTCGGTATTTTCAAAATCGAAATTATTAGAGAGAAAATTGAACATAGAAGGGTTAGGGTTTAACAAATTTTATTTCGGGATAGCAGGTATCAAAATAAACCAAAAATGTTTTATGCAACATAATAATTTTCGAGAAAAGAGATTTTTTTTAACAAAAATACTTCAGCGGCGATGACCTGCTATCAATACCGACCATTTATTTTTGTAGGCATCTTATCAATGATGATATTTCCAAACACAACAGTTGCTGGACTAAGATGAATGTCCAACATTGGATATTAGGGGCTGAATATATAAAAACTGATAACTAGCAAATTTTAAAAACTTTCTGATTTAATAGAATTTATAATTATTATTTAGGATGGTTCCTGTATTTTTAATCGTTTTTACAGGTGTTTATCACCAGGGTTGGCCTCAATTAATTAGTATAAATTAAGTCAATGTTTTAACTCATGAATTAATTCAAAGTTTTTTTCAACATGATCAAATTGCGTCATCAACTTTAAACTAAAATATCTGACAACAGGAACCGAGTAGCAATAAACAAGAGCCTCAATCACTAATTTCAGTTTGTATTGCAAAAACTGCATGTTTTTTATTTTGTTTTAATAAATAAATAAGATATGAGTTTTATAAAGTATTAATTAATTCAAAAAGTAGGACTTTTTTTTATAAAAATCATGCCTTATTCCAATCCTGTTTTTCAACAACCTGTATACTACAAATGTAGTTAGCGGGGTTAAAAGGTGTTTATTTTGGCATTTTTTGTATTAAAAAATAATTAAAAATGATATAACTAAAGTATACAGGGTGTTTTGAAATTCGCGTCACGCGGAACACAGTCTATCTGATTTGCTATGAGGTTTACTCGTGTGCCGTTTATGAGACAAGAATTTAGAATTATTTTTTGGTGGAAAAAAGGATATTTAGGGAAAATACGTTTTTGATAAGAAAAAATTAGGTGGTTAATATTAGCAAGAGAGATTACTTGTCGCAATGAAAGGAAGATGATATATTAATACCAATTAAAGGAAGATGTGACAGAAAACTCCCGAAAGGTGTTAGTAATAAACAAATACTGGCTGTTCTCTTTCCATTGAGTCTAGTAAAGTAAAACAGCTTACATACAAAAAAAAAAAGTTTTTAAAGTAAATACATTTTTGCATTCGTAAAAATCATTCTTGAAAACATTTTCTCCAAATTTTCTGTCCGTAGTTTTTCATTTTTAAACCCTGACAAGGTACTACTCATAACCTTTATTTAAAACATTTATTCACCTACTAAAATATTTTCAATTACATGTCAACATAACTAATTGTACCCGAATGGGTATATTCACCCTTGATATACTACAATGTTCAAAACTGATGAAAGTTGATAGATATAGCAGCCCCCTCTCCTTACCTATTAGGTATTATTAAGGGGTCGTGGTTGTCTTAAGTCAGTAATTGATCAGTATTTGTAAGTATATCTTTGTTTAGTTATGGCTGTCGACCCCTGAAAAGACAGGAAAAAACAGGGGTCATTGTTAGTATAAGGTATTGAGTTTAGTCTGATTAATGTCCCAACTCATAGGATGAGTGAGCGTTGGGACAGCCGCCAGAGCCACAATCGAGAATATAAATAGTTCTCGATTGCGTACCCGTACTCATAACCTTTACCCGGAACAAGGTTGGAGATCTTAGAAATTCCGACCCTGTTCTAAGGAAGGCTAAAAAGAACAAACCAAGTAAAATATATGGATCTAATCCTAGATAGCAAACTTACTTGGAACCAACACTTACAAAAAGTGATCAACAAATGTAAACTGTCTCTCATTATAGGGAGACAGGCATTTGGGAAAACATGAGGATTAAAATCGAAAATGGTTTATATTAGGCAATAACAACACCTTCAATAACTTATGGAGCGGCTGTTTGGTGGCCAAAAGTAAACCAGAAAACAGCCCTCAATACCCTCTCAGAAGTACAGAGGCTGATATGCCTTTGTATTACAGAAATACTGAAAAGTACACCGACAGCCTCTATGGAAATCATTCTAAACCTCCCACTCCTTGACCTAGTCATAAAGGAGAGAATGAGTGCATACAGGCTGGACATTTTTAACAACTAGAAGCCACTGGTAATATAAAACATAACAGAAGAGCACATGAGAGGAAAATGAGCCTAATTAAACATGGGATCAGATCACAGGACACCCCGCATAACCTATTCCAGGGTAGCTATTATTGAATTCGAGGGAATAGAAAACCGGTTTTTCTTCTTTATCTGCAACGAACAAAATTTCTATTTTTGTCTCATTTTTCCCTCAAAATGTGTACTCCCTGAGATTCAAGACTAGATACCCAAGGCAACTGTAACTGGAACGAGGTAAGTAAGCAGGTAGAGAAATACTTGCTTAGCAATCTCGTATGGTATAAGGATAGATCTAAAACTAACAAGGGAAGAGGCTCTGGCGTACATAAAGCTAAACCCAAATGCGACATCACCGTCTCACTAGGAACTAGGAAAACATCAATGTATTTCAGGCTGAAATGCATGCAATCGAATTATGTGTACGAGAGAATTTAAAATCGTTATAGTGCCGCGCTTTGAATATTCGCTTAAAGCTATCATTTGGAAAGGCGTGACCCGAGACCGACTTCAAACGAAAACCTAGAGCGACCGACGACAGTAGTAAGACGGCAAATATTGCCATACTAAATCTGCTGTCGTCAGTCGTGCCTTCCCTAATGTGTTTCATATAATTACATGTGTTCAGACGTGAAGAGACCGTTTTGGTCTCCCTCGCTGTCGTCTTACGCTTGAAGTCGGTCTCGAGTCGCGCCTTCCCAAATGGTAGCTTTACTTATAAAATTCAATCGTGTTTAACAGTACAAAGGCAATAATTGGATTGTGACCCGGTGTTTGCAGTTATTTTTAGTAATATATAATGTATATGTGACCAATTTTGGACATATAAACCATTTGTCAAATTTAATAAAGACATGTAAATACAGATAGTACCGTTCCATTTTATTTTGTCTTTGTGTTGTGACTCCTTCCCCAAAATAATGGATCTGCACTATATGGAGAAATATTCCATTATGTTAAATTAGTTAAAAAGGTTTAATCCTTCTGTAAGAGCGTCACGTAGCCAGTGGCGTCCCTACAGCAAAAGAAATCATCAGAAACAATATCACTGGAAAAAACATGCTCATCTATACAGATAGCACAACTCACCCTAAACAGAGTACGAATTTACTCAGTGTTAGTACTAGAATGTCACGCAGCTTTGACCGAATTATTCATCAACAAGGTGGTCACCTTAGGATGGATCAAAGGTCATCCAAAGGGAACCGTCTTGCTGATTCATTAGCCAAGAATCTTTAAAAACAACCAGTCTTAACCACAAGCCGTCATTGTGTTGATGCAAGATAATTCATCCTCTTAGACGTTTTTTGGGAAACTTTTAAAAAACCTAATGCAAAAAATTGTAGTGAACCATTCTGAATTATCCTCGAGTGCTACAATGAAAACATGCCCAGTAATTATAAATAGACTTGCATGTCTGATGCCATCCCATTACAAAAAAAAAAAAAAAAAAAAAAATTATAAAACAATGGCGACCATCTTTTTGTTTTTTCGGAATCATAACAGTACTCATATGATTAGATGATCCAAGGTCAACCTGATCTAGTGTAGAACTGCACCATCTCATACGGTCTTCTTTTTGAGATAAAAACGAGTTGTGGAGAATCCAGTGAGAACAGAGCTTACGAACTTTTAAATGTTTGAATAAATAGTGTTTTTACTCCAATCTTTATTGAATGTTTCTGACAATAGCATGCCGGTCCTCTTTAATCATGTTCCGAATAAAATCAATATTTTTTCTGTAACTGCCGTTTTTGGCTTAGAAGCTCGAAAACTGTCATTTAAAGAAAGTTGAAATTCATTGTACCACCGCTTTAAGGTAGCGAAGGAACACTACTTATCACCAAGCACTCGATTAATTCCCTCAAAACATTATTTACGGTTTAAGCCACGCTTGAAATTGTAAAAAATCACAGCCCGATAATGTTCCTTGTTTATTTCCATCATTTATTGGCAAAAGGATTATTTTAAACTTATGTAACTTACAATCAGATATATTTGACAACTGTCACTAACTAAACTTGTAAACTAGATTGCAATGTCAAAAATTTTATGCAAAAATTTCATCGCCTACTAGATAGGCTCGGCGAAAAGAGAACAGTCCTCGCATTATTCAATTTGATTAATTCAGTTAAAAATTCCTTACTTTTATTGACACGCCCAAATTCCCTAAATTTCCATAAAGTTTCCACCCCAATTTAGGAGTTGGCAGGACTACATAATAAATTTTAAGGTTCTTTCAACGTTCATCTAAGATTTATAGACTAAAATATTAACGAACAACCTGCAGCAAGAACGTTCTATAACATTTATGATCCTGATAAACTTTGACATATTTAGGGAAAGTGATCTGCCTAAATTATACGAACTTGAAAGTCTATCTGTCAAGTTTCTTAATTAATAGGATTTTTGCTGAACAGGACATATAACTTAAACCAATATGCAATGGAGACATTAATATTTAATTCTAACAAAATAAAATGAATAAATGAACACAAATACTGATAAAAGTATTAATTATGCTTCTAATTATAAAAGGACAATACAGATAATTGAATTCTATTAAAAGAAAATGTGTTTCTGTCACACTGATTATGGATTTTATAATCTGGGGCTCATAATGAAAACAAATGCCAAAAAATGTGCTGGACAACGCGGGAACACGTGAATGCATCTAAAGCAGGGTTCGTACTTACTTGGGATCACACACTAATAAGACCATCATATTTTGTCAAAACACGTGATTAGCCGGAGAAGAAAAAAAGACACTAAGCAACTAACTTTTACTTGGTCGGTAGTATTACAGGCGACCGTGTACCGTACCATGTGTATTTATTTTTTATACAATGAGATGGAACACGTGACAAGGACGAAACTATACAGATACTACTTGCGTACCTACACGAATACAGGCTCGTATTGGGTTATTTTTGGTGTCGGGCCGTCCTTCGAATCGATAATACTGTAATGATTACTTATATATATATTTTTTTTTATTTTCAGGCATTTACCAAAAATACGATATCTCTGATATATATAAAGATAAAAAGCGCAAGGTTTTTCGCGAGAGATAAAAATGTTAAAAGCAAGTGAACTGTTTACCCAATTTATTTATTATTACATTCAGTTTTGAGGTCACATCGTCATATTAAAAATAAAAATCGTTTTATTACACGAGGAAAAAATTATGCGGTAATGTAATAATTTTAGAACATCGGTTTTCCTAAAAACAAATCGATTTTAAACTATTAAGACGATTGAAATTAAAAATAAAGTATCTACAGAAAATTTCTAAAACAGCGTAGGAGCACAGACTCGTGAGATAATCCGACAACAAAGAGAGAAAACATTAGAAGAGAAAAAAAATGATTAAGTAGCTAAGCAGTAATGTAATTTTGTAGAAAACGCCATGATTCGATACAATCTGTGAAATTAACGAGGTCTTGAGAGTTCGAGTTTCGTTTCGACTTCACTTCTCGGTTTCAGGGAGAAATTCGAGGAAATCGATTCCGTTCGTTCATAAAAGGTACTTTCGAAGTGTTGATGTTGGAAGAAAACTTTCTCTCCCGCACAATTTCTAAAAATAATATACTGAATTAGATTCACGTAATATCGCTGAAATAAGGCATAATGGTGTAATAATCGCAGACAGTGTGATTTCATATTTCTGTACAGGGTGATGCAAAATTAACAGGTCAAATTATACGTTCTTTTGAGGTGCTTTAAGTTATAGTCTATTTTTATGTATGAGAGAGTAATAAAACAGCATTTCTAATGCAAAACTTAGTACGGTCATTTTAAATATTTTTACAGAATAATCTAAATATTTCCTAAAATTGTAATAAATGTACTTGAGCTATTACAAGTTTTGGGTCTTTTATTGGTCCTTTATAAACATAAGCTGTACAGAACAATAGAAAAAGATTTGGACAGGCCAAAAGCCCTGTGTATTAAAGATTACATAGCCGTATCTTAAGATTATTTTCAATAAGTACCTATTTGCCAATTTTGTTTTATTTTAATTCCAAGAATTTCTTACAGTAATCGAATTATAAGTAGATACATACCTTCCCAACAAATTTCACCGAAAATAAGATTATAGGCTTTCCATTTAGTAAGGAGGTCCAAGTTGTGTATTCTTAACAGTTTACTAAATGTCGTTTAGTTGCAACTTGCAAGGTGCACTGTGAATTCTAATGTGATCATGGAAAATTTGGAAGGGCCGCGTAAACGACAAAAAATCGGTCCTTTAACAGTTAATGAAAAAACATTAATATTTAATTGTTTTAAATCATTTACAAACATTTATGTAAAAGTGTTGATGACACAGTGGAATTAGTTAGTAGTACGCCTAGTGTTGGGACATCTACGATTTACAGAGTTGTTAAAGAAGAGAAATGTGGCGAGTTTCAAACAGCACGTAAAGCTCCAGAAAACCAAAATTTTAATTAGAAAATCTTTTGAAAGAAAGACTTCGAAGGAAAGTGCATGCGTTCTTCTTTAGAAAAGAATTTCCGACAGTAGACAAAGTTCTTGCCACGGTTCGAGATGATAAGGATTACCCTGAAATGAGTCGAAGCACACTATGGAAACTTTTAAAAGAAATAGGTTTTCTATGGAAAAAGCATTCCAGAAAGTCTATTTTAGTAGAAAGAAGCGATATTGTAGTATGGAGAAGAAATTGCCTAAGGACTATAAAAGAAGTGAGAAAACAAAGAAGAAATATATTTTATTTAGATGAAACATGGATCAACGAGGGACATAAACCAAATAAATTTTGACAAGATGAAACTGTTACAAGTCGATGACAGGCTTTTTTAAATAATTTATCTACTGGTTTAAATCCACCATCAGGAAAGGGGCACAGACTAATAATAGTACACATCGGTAGTTCAAACGGTTTTGTTAAAGGTGGTTTATTGACTTTTGAATCTACTCGTACCGGTGACTACCATGAGGACATGAATGCTGATGTCTTTAAAGAGTGGTTCGAACAAATTACAGATCTTCTTCCTCAGAACTGAATAATAGTAATGGATAATGCAAGTTATCACTCGAGACTTATAGAAAAAATGCCCACAACCAAGTGGTTAAAAAAAGATTTACAGAATTGGCTAAATTCAAATAATATTAAGTTCCATCCCGGTTCTGTGAGAAAAGAACTGTATCATTTGTGTTCCCTTCATAAAGAGAAATTTAAAAAATATGAAATTGATGAAATTGCAAAAAATCGTGGGATGACGGTGGTTAGATCACCACCATATCATTGCCAAGTAAACCCGATTGAACTGATATGGGCACAGATAAAGGGAGAAGTTTCAAGAAAAAATAATTCTTTTAAAATGAGTGATGTTAAACAGTTGTTTTTGGAGGCTGTAAATAATGTGAAGCCTGAAAACTGGGAAAAGACAGTAAATCATACGATTAAAGAAGAAGAGAAAATGTGGAAGTTGGACAATATTACTGATGAAATGATCGAGCCACTCATTGTAAATATTGGTTGCGACAGTTCATCGTCTGATTTCGATTTGTAGGTAAGAAGTAGTTTTTATATTAAAATTATTATTTATGAACGTAACGTTGTTTAGAAGTCAAAGTTTAAGCCCTTATACCTACATAACCCGTTTGACACAATGTTCTTAACATACCTTGTGGAAAAATAAAACATTTTAGAAAAAATTGCACTTTTTTACCTTCAGCTGTTTAGAAGTTATAAGCAGGTTAATTAGGTGAAAATATAAGTGTATACTCGAGGAATAACTTCAAAAAATATTTTAACTGTCTATTAAAAGAAGTGATACGCCTATGGATTACGAACGCTTTATTATTTTAATACTCTCTCATACATAAAAATAGACTATAGTACATTAGTATCATTGTAAAACAATAAATCATTCATAGCAAGACCTCAAAATTATAGTAAAATTTGCTACAAAAAGTTAAATATATTTCTACTACTACAACATTGTCCTAAAATTTTATAGTCACATTTTTTATACGTTAAAACAGTTTTCTGTTAGGTGGGGAGCCCTGAACCGGCTAGGCATCTCTTAACTGTCTATTTAAATGAATGTAACTCAGGTTTTGAAAAATTAATGAACATTTATTGCAAACAATATTAAAGTATCAAGCTATTAAAATTTTAACGTTTATTTTCGAATAACATTGAAAAACTTTCTCTAAAAATATTGTTCAAACAATACAATTAAATAATAATCCAAATAACAGTACATAACTAGCGAGGATTGCGTTTGTTCATTTCTCAACAAATTCCAAGTTTCCAATGTCAATTAAAATTAACTAGCAAATTAATTGCATTACATAATATATATCGAGGGTAGGTCCCTGTTGTTTAGTAACCGTACAAATAAAGGAGGAAATTTTAGGGCTACTCGTAATGTCCAAGAGCTTTCTTTCTAAAAGCTCCAAAGGCCAGGGGTGAGATCCTTTGTAATTGTCAACCCCAAAAGTGACCCTAGTGTAGCTTAGAAAAGGGGAACGTTTAAAAATGCACTCATCAAATTTTTGATAACGTGGCATACTTTTCAAAACAAAAGGCAATAATAATAAAAACATTACAATCACGTGGTAAATGCATCTATGGAAAGACTCACGTGCATTCGACATAAGTCAACATGTGAAAATCGTTTTGTTCGCTTACTTAATATAAAATAATGTGTTTGGAACGTATTTGATAGATCTAATCTTTTAAATTTATTTACAGTAATAATAATAATTGTCCTGGGGTCCTAGAAGATTTAATATTAAGGGAAAATTGGTTAATATTAAAATATTCAGTAATTTCTGTATAGTACCTCATACAGGGTTTCTAAACGGACAGGATTCACTATAGTGGGAGCATTTTTATTTTTAGTTTTATCAAAAAATATTGTTGACATAACATAACAACAAACCTATGTTCAAATTTACATTCCTGAAATTCAAAATGAAAATTAGTCCGGTTTAAAAGAGCAGATTCGTGAAGATTTCTGCTAGATGAGAATTTTTCTAAAAAAAAAAAAAAAAAATAATAATAATAATAATATTCCCAAAAGCAAAATATTTAAAATGGAAAAATTATGAGCATGGACCTTACGGACACATTCGAATTAAATACATCAATCGTTTGTCCATTCATTATTTTAATTTGTTCAAACCGTATTATTATCGTATGTCTATCCAAAAGAATCCAAAATATAAGCAATGTTGTCAAACTACGTTGTTTGTCCTCATTATTTTTGTTTGTAGTGGTCTGATTTTTGTTAACCAGTTAAAATATTATTGTTATCTTTAAAAGAATGTGAAAATACAATTTTTTATTATTATTCTTATCAATTTTTTATATATTAAACTTTATTCCATTCAAATTTGTGCTAAAATGAATAGCTGCTATGTGGTAATAGTGTAATCATGTTCAAAAATATCAATCATCTGCACGATATTTTTAGTTTAGATTTATTAGGTTTTTTTCACCGTCCTGTAAAATATACATTTTGTAGGATGTCCTTTGGCCCTATAACGACAAAAAAAACTGACTTTATAAAAAAAATATATTTTGAACCATTGCTCAGCTATAATATTTTGTTTAATCAATGAACAAAAACCTAATGAATGTTTGGTATAATAAGTATATTTAATGTATTTGTTTTACCCTCGTATTTTTGCAAAATTATCTTGTTTTAACTAATTAAATGAATCCATTTTTTGTTTAATAAATACACTAACTTTTACTTGTTTATAAACGTTTATGATACTAAAGTAAAACCAAAGATTCTGCCGAATAACAATATCGAAACTTTAAGGGACCGCGCGCCGCGCGGTTTGTCTGCAAGCTTCAGCTTCATAACGATCGAATGTTGTACCC